CCAGCAGGAAGAAATTATTCCAATTTACTCTCTTAAATTGGCATTTTTATTTCTTTCTTAATTTTTTGAGCCTCATTCCCCCCCCCTTTTTTATTTGGTATATCCAGTGATAGATTCTTGTTCACATTGTTCTCCATAATCATGTCACATAAGTTGTCTTCCAAATCTTTTTCTGTAACAGCATCTTCTGGTGTAACAGCTTCTTCTGGGAACAGGGTGTTCATAAAAACACACAACATAGCTGACGTTGTTGATTCAAAGTCCTGTTGCCATTCCTCAACAATATCTCTGAACACCATTATAAGTTGCTTATCTTGTTATGTCTCCAATACTGAAAATATTTTTCCTTTCCCATGAAAATGCATTTATTCTTTAAAATTAATTTCAAAGTCTTAGTATTCAAAATCAAATATTCCAATGTTTTCTGAGCCCTTAATCCATTTAAAACTTTCTATAGCCAAAACCTTGTCTTGCTTTTTTGCTGTTTAGTTTGAATTCTTAAAGCTTATATAGATAGTTTCATTTTTTTTATATTAAGGATTGAAAGCACTCACCCAGTGTTTCCAGCCTTGTCATTTTGAAGGTGTCTACCTTCTTTAAAGGAGTTAATAGGCAATTTTCGAAGGTGGTTAGCAAAGGAAATGCAAACAGTGTCCTTTGAAGGCTCTGACTGTGGCTGGAGCAAGAATGAAAATTCCCTCGTCTCCCGGTTCTCCCACCTTCCGGAGACCACTGCTTTGCAGTCTTCTCATGAGAAGCAACCATATGGAGCACAACGTGGACAATCTGGCATCCGCTCTTTCTCTAGAGAGGGTTAAAGAAGCTGATCTACTTGTCAGCTCTTTGTTCTTAGCAGCAATCATCAGCTCCACTTTTTGCAGAGCCATCTTCAGTTTGCTATTTCTTCCCAAGAAGTCAAAGCAAACAGATCTTTGTCTAATTAGATATTCACCAGTCACTGTTCTGATTAATGCTTGGGCTTCTAAAAGGCCCAATCACTTTTTGTTTATTCATCTCATGCCCACCCATCCATTCACGCCACTTGACAGCATAATTCTTCCCACCCACCCACCCCCATCACATTCATTCAGAGCATTATACAATTCCTGCCAAAAATAATCTCTGGTTCTTCCATTTTTACTATTTGCTGGAGCAAAATATGCTACTATCATTAAATTATGGATTCCTATTTTCATATGTACCCACCACAAACTAGGTAACACAAATTCACATGTTTTCAACTGTGGAGCAATTGGCGCCAAAGGTTAAAGAAGGAAAAGGAACTCTGTTAATATTGCCTTTTTCTCTTTTCATTCACTTGGAAAAAAAATGGAGTCATGACATAAAATTTCTGAATCTGATCCCAAGATTCTGCCTACAGGTATCATTGCCCGCTTAAATTGTGTCAAAGTAGAGTACAGTTTAAATATAGGGTTTAAAAACCCTTGAACATCTGAGTTTCAAAAATGAACCATCTGGACATTTGAATTAATGCTCAAACCACTCGAGGAAGCTAATATGGTTCATCAAGAATAGATTGTTAAAGTCATCAGCTATGGACTGATCAGAAACCCACAAGTGATTATTACAGTTCAGATCTTAATAAGAATGTATATCTATGCGGTCACTAAGAACTGACAGCAATTTGATGGCCCATAATCAATCATAATCAATACTTGGAAAGATTTGACAGTTTTGCTCAACTTGGGGCCTTCCTAATGAGTTGGACCACTCCTACAACCCTCACACTGCCTCTGTTACTAGCTAAGGATAATGGGAGTGACAGCTCAGTCCATCTTTCAAGACAACAGCCTGGGGAAGTCTGATTCAGAACTTAACCCCACCCGATGATAAATATATTAAGCACGTATTAAAAAGTTTTAACTATTTTTATTTTTAAATAAAAATCAGCCCATTGGAAATGACAGGTCTGTGACTGAGAAACAGCTGTTTCTCATCTTTTCTGCTGCCCCTTCAGGAAAGTGAAAGAGTGGAACCCCCTGACCAAAAGAGCAGTAAGTTACCCCCCACAAAGCACCATACACCTTTTGCTGCGGGCTCTGCCATTTCTATTTCTTAAAAAGCAAACAGGCAGGCCAGAGAAACAGCCCCTGTTCTTCATCACATCTCTTGCTCGCCCCCTCCCAATCCTACAGAGCAGAACTGGCTTCTAACGCTGCCCCGAGAGGCCGTGCAGCAGATCCAGCCTTCACGGGGAGATATAAGGGAGTGCGGGAGTGAGCCATCACTCCCCCTTCCCTTCATTCCTGCACCCATTTTCTCAAGCAAGCTGCAGCACCCGCTTGCCCTCGTGCCACCTGCCCTCCAAGGCGGGAGGCGGTGTTGCTCCTACTACAAGGCCTATTGCTGGCAGGCCCAGAAACAGCTCTCACTCGCTCCACTGGGTCGGAATTTCCTCCTTAGCAACCAACCGAACATCCCCGACTCGAGAGAGAGGCGCTGGGGGCCCGGATACGAGCCCTGGGGACGCAGCGTTCTGCCTCTCTTGTCACATTCGCTCCATTGACATTGATGGGAGGCCTTTCTGGCTCCGCTCCGCACCTCTAATTATAAATAACTGGTAAAGGTAGCGGTGCCAAAAGGCCGACAACCTTACTCCATCTCCCAGGGTGCAATGCGTGTGTAGGCTTACGCTGTCCCCCGGAGGCTGAGTTTGAGCGTGCGCGCTATTCCCTCTTCCTTTTAGCGCCCTTCAGACCGGCTACCGCTGTTTTACTGGCGGCCAAGCCTGAGCGTCGACCTTTATCCCTGCTGCCAGTCCTTGCTGGCTGCACCCGCTTGCCCAGTTTCCCTTTGCCCTGTCAAAGCAGGAGCTGGCCACGGCCCTTCACCGATTCTCCCGTTTCTAATGCCGCGCGTATAAGAAGCCGCGCGGCAGCTCCGCAGCCTGTAGAAACGTTTGTGGTCTTCCCACTTTGGCCAGTTAGGACCGAGAGTGACCTCCTTTTCGTCCTGGTTAGGAGCAGAAGCGGGTCCTTTGCCCACTGTATAAGGCTGGAAATAGATGGGCGTAAAGAACCCTGTGAGTCATCATCCCTTGTAAGGTAGGATTTCGTCTGCAATTTGGTGCTACTTGAAACCCTGGAACAGGGCACCGACCGTGTAAAGGTTGCTGAGAAAATAGGACGATTTTTGAAGAGGACCCCTGAAATGTGAGCCTGGGCTGGACAGACCTTATGCTTTTTGCTGTTGGTATGGCTAATCGCTTTTCCATATATAGACTATCTAACTATACTCTTAGAGGAATGAAATGTGAGAGAGCCAGTATTGAATGTCAGGTATCACTTTTTCTTGGGTAAACAGTTAATTAGAAAACATGTCTTTCCCTTTATTTTTGCTTTAGATGGGCAACTGCAGCTAATTCTTGGCTCCCTAGTTTATATTCCTGCACATCCAAGCACTTCTGAATCAATCTCCCTTCCTTCCTTCCTTCCTTCCTTCCTTCCTTCCTCCCTTCCCTTCCCTTCCCTTCCCTTCCTTAGTACCTGTGTAGTTTATTCAATTAGTCTAAGTAAACATGTAAATATGTAAGACAAATCTAGGTATAGTTTGCAATCCTTACTAGGGTAAGGGTGGCGGGAGGGGGAGCAAAAGTTAGTAGAGAGGCTAACAGTAACTCTGCATCCAAAGCAAAAATTAATGTAAAACAGAAATTTATCTAACAGCTGTGTGAACGCAATTGATTTTATTTCAATCCATAAACATCCACATGGAAAAATGGTACAATCCCCCACATGAATATGCGGCCATGCAATGAGTATGGAGGATGCCTACTTGAAGACCCATCACAACAAGATCAGAAAGTGTAGTCTCCAACTAAGTTTGAACATTCAGTGCCCCTTCAAATTTTGCAGTTAAATTCAGGTTTCTGAAGTCACTCACTGGTGGCAGTTGATTAATTTCTGCTCCTGATGGCCTTCACAGTGATAGTGGGGGAAAAGCAGATGGCTGAAGGCCCACTGCTGTGCCAGAAACAAGCCACCACTTAAAACCAGTAGTAGTATATTTCAAAGAAATGATTTGGCACTGTACACTGAATGAAACTTTGGTATAATCAGACAGAATTAGAAACACATTTCCTATGACACAACATATATATATATATATATACACACACACACACACACACACACACACACACACACACACACA